GGGACAGAGGGACCCGGGACAGAGGGACCCGGGACAGCGGGACAGAGGGGCAGCGGGACAGAGGGGCAGCGGGACAGAGGGACCCGGGACAGAGGGACAGCGGGACAGAGGGACCGAGGGACAGCGGGACAGAGGGACAGCGGGACCCGGGACAGAGGGACCCGGGACAGAGGGACAGCGGGACAGAGGGACAGCGGGACAGAGGGACCCGGGACAGCGGGACAGATGGACAGAGGGACAGGGACCCGGGACAGCGGGACCCGGGACAGCGGGACAGAGGGATAGAGGGACAGGGACCCGGGACAGAGGGACAGCAGGACAGCGTCCCGTGGGTGCTGCATCCAGCAGCGCTCCCCACAGCTCCCGGCCCTGCCCCGCGCTCCGCCAGCCCGGATTGCAGCTCCGGCAGCGGGACACGAAGCTCAGGAGCAGCGGGACACGAAGCTCAGGAGCAGCGGGACACGAAGCTCAGGAGCAGCGGGACACGAAGCTCAGGAGCAGCGGAGCCAATGAGCCCTGGTGCCTGCCGGGCCCTGGGGACAGCAGGGCCCCTCTGGCTCGGCAGCGCTGCCGCCAGCTCTGCCAGCAGACACAGGGGCGGCAGCTGGGGACGGACACCGGGCCCGGGCCGCCCCCAGGCTCGGGGGGAACGGTGGCACCGCGGGGTCGGCTGGCGAAAAGGGGTCGCTTGTCACCTCCCCGAGCGAGCACAGCGCCCTGCTGCTGCCCCAGGGGCTGCCCGGGCAGACCCACAGCCCAGCCCCGGTACCCGGCTCCACAGTCCCGACCCCCCCGCAGGCCGAGCCCCGCACGGCCCCGGCACTCACCGCAGCGGGGCCGGCCCGGCTCCGAGCCCCGAGCCCGCGGAGCCAGGTGAGCACAGAACTTCTCCGGGCTGATGCAAGATGCCTCTGGGAGCTCGCTCGCATTCTGCGGATTCCTGGGAGCCGGCCAGAAATCCCACAATCCTACATCTCGCACATTTGGTTTCAATTAGGGAGCGGAGAGGGGGAGCCAGTCAGCGATCCGGGCTGGCTTTTTGGCAGAGGTTATTTTCCTCGGCCCGAGGGAATGTGCGCAAAGCTATAATTTACAGCAAAACCCATTCATAGCGCAAGAGAAAAATATAAAAAAGCCCCCGTGGCCAGCAAGGGAACTCAAAGCAGTAGGCAGCGCTTGGCTGTGGCACGGCACGCGTGTCCAGCACCCCCAAAACGCGGCTGGTGGGGACAGTCCACGAGAGCCCAGAGCGGGCCTGCAGGGTCCCAGGGGGAATCCTCCTCTCCTGGGGGAAGGATTTGGGACTCCTGCACGGGCACACGTGGCCGGGACAGCAGCCAGAGAGCCGGCCTGGCTCGGTGCTCCAGCTGCCCGAGCTCCGTGCGGAGCTGGTGGCTCGACATCATTTCCAGGCACCAGCCTGGCACGGCGGCTACGCAACGAGGCAGGGAGAAAATAGTAACAATACTACTAATGCTAATAATGATGGGCTCATGGTGATCTTCGTGCAACAGCAAAAACCACAATTAAAGAACTTCTTTTTTAAAAAAAAATAATTTTTGACTGTTTTTGCTTTGTTGAATTCCACGCTCACATTATGGGAAGGAAGTAGCACCCCTGGCAGCAGGCCAGCAACTCCCTAAAAGGCTTTCCTGTCCGACTAGAAACCCCACAGCCCCAGGGCTGTAGCCTTGCTCCTAAACCAACCTCTGCCAGCCTGAAGTCTGCAGCCAAAGCAGCAGAATGGCAGCAGGGGAAGGCACCGCTGCCCCCGGCAGACACTGGGACCCTCGTCACTGCCACCAGAGAAGGGCTGCAGCTCCAGCTGAGCCAGCACTGCCCAGGGGGACAGAGGCAGGGCACGGCTTCCCCTGGGCTGGCAGGGAGCCGTGCCCCATGTGCTGCCCCAGAGAGCTGGCATGGAGAAGCACAGGCTGCCCTACGTGCGCACTGGCACAAACACCAGCCAGCTCTGCTCCACTCCCCTCCTGCTACCTGGGACTGCTGCTCAAACAACTTGGCAGCAGCCAGCATCCCAGTGCTGTGTCCCAGGACAGAGCTAGTGCAAAGGTGGTGGTCTGCAAGCCAAAGGCCACACAGAGCCCAGCCAGCCTGTGGTGAGCCAGCAGCAGGCACAGAGCCAGCCAGGACCCTCCACACTGCCCTGGTGGCCCAGGCACAGGGCCTGGGGAAACAAGTGCTTGGCTGAGCCCAGGATGCTCAGCAGCCACCTTTGAACCCGGGGGGCACCTGGTGACTTCCCCCAGAGGGAGCGCTTTGGGTCCCATTCCCAGGCCTGCAAGGGACAATCCTTCCCCAGGCAGCCCCAGGGCAGCAGGAGCCTGTGACCACAGCAGGAGCAGGAGAGGGGCTGGCCAAGATCTACATCCTTCCTCCCAACCAGGAGGGGAGGCAGCACAGCTGCTCTGCCCGAGGCTATCAGGACACCACACTCCTCGGCACTGGGCTCATGCAGGAGCCAGATTCCCCCCAGGAAAAGCAGAGGGCACATGGCACTGGTGGTTTCACCCTGAGCACACCTCCCTGTTCCCACCTCCTCAAGGCTTGCCACTGTTTGCAGAAATGAGAGAGGAGGGTGCAACTCTCTGCTTCCTCCAGGAAGGCCCCAAATGAGCAGTGCAGGCTAGAGGCCCTGTCTGCAGCCACCCTCACTGCACTGAACAGAGCACTTGGCATGACGCTGTCAGCTCTCTGCTCCATGAGCCTCTTGCTGGAAAGTCACTGTCACTCAGACACCACCAGATGACAAACAGGAGGGACTCAGAGTTTAATTGGGGGCTTCCAGTTGTGCAATATACAAAGGATGACCAAAAGGGAGGACATGGGCAATGACAAGAACCCTATTAAAAAAAAATAGTCATGTAGATTTAAAAAAAATAAAAATTCAAGATTAAACCCAGCCCCGTACCATAAAAATCCTCTCTCTGCATGTACAATGACTATTACTATATACATGTTTAAAAATAAATGCCCACAGCCTGGAGAGCAAAGAGCAGCACCACAGCTGTGCTTTGTGGCAGGGGAATCCATAGTGTTTGGTTTTTAAATTAAAATATAAATAGGAGCATACAACGTGCCAAGAACCGAGTGGGTCAGATCCTGCTCTGCACAGAGCTGTCCCTGCCAGGCCCAGCCATCAGCCTGTGAGCTCCTGGCAGGATGGGCACCACGCTGCCTCTACATCCCGTTCTTCACCAGCTCGTGGATCCCATCCTCGTCAATGATCAGAGGTGTGCGGAACTCTCGGTCCTTCACGTACTTCTCCAGACCCTAGGGGAACGAGGAGGGGCTCATCAGAACACAGCACATCACCCGCTCTGCTGTGCTGCTCACGGGGCCTCTGCTCCCCTCCTGTGCTGGCACCCAGGGGAGCACTGCCCCAAAAAGCTCCCCAGTGAATTGGAGTCCCTTTTGTGCCTTATCCCCTCACATGTGTGCCCTGCCAGCCCGCTCCATCTGCAAGGGCCCCCGAGCTCTGCAGAGCCAGTACTCACCTCTCCTCCGTAGGAGACCAGGGGAGAAATTTCACACTGGATTGGCAGGTCGTTTGCATCCTTCAGGCTGCAGAGACAAATGTACAGTCAGGAGAGTCAGGTACAGCCCAGGGAGGGGACACAGATGGGCCCAAGATCTGCGGAGGCCAGGCGGAGGCTCAGGGGCTGTCTGGGGCCCACACAGACCCTGCCAGTGCAGAGCTGCCCTGGGTTAGTCAAGCCTTGCGTGCTCTCCAGAGATGCCAGCTAAAGTTTAGATACCAGCAGCGACTGAAAGGGAAAAGAGCTTTAGATGGGGCTTTCATGGTGCCTTTCCATGTGTGTAACCACAGAAGTGGCTGTGCCCCCAGCCCCGCTGTTTTTGATGCTGCCTGGGAACGAGTCACCCTTTGCTTCTCCTCCTGCAGCCCTGGGGTGATGTGAGATGCACTCACCGAGCACCTGCCCGTTCGGCTGGACACAAGAGGTCTTGCTTTAAGCCCTCTCTTGCTTAAAACCTCAGGACACAGGGTAAGCCCTTCTGCTCCCTCAGAAACACTCCCTGAAACACTGTCTGCCCCTTCTGCCTTTGCCTGTTAGATCATCTCGCCTCCTCTGTTCTGCCTGTGGGCTGCAGCTGGTGAGCAGAATGTCAGGACCGCACCAGTGCTGCCACCAGCCTCCGTAGGACACGCTTGGATGATCCCGGGATCCAGCTGGGAGTGCAGCTGTGTGGACCCAACAAGCAGCCACGGCAACAGCACCCCAGCGTGGCCCTTCCCAGCCAGTGGCCACAGCAGCCAGGCAGGCATGGCAGGATGCCATCCGTGACAACACTCCCTTCACCCAGGCTGAAGCTCCTTCCTGCTGCCACGCACTCACTCAGCCCCCTCCTGTCCCAAGTGTCAGTAGATAAAACTCACCCAGCCCAACCCACACTGGTGTTTACCTTGAGTGTTAGATTCAAGATAGTTGTTTTAAAAAAAAAAAAATTGACATTAAGTGGTTATGAAGGGTAAATGTAAGACAAGGTGCATCCTTTCTCCTACATGCTAACTAGTGTAATGGCTTAGTCGTAAGCCTGAAAAGACTTGGAGTCTGGAATTAAAATATATAAAACAGCTGTATCCCACCAGAAAGTGTCTGAAGATGCAGCTTCCGAAAGAAGGGAATGTGACAAGATTGCTAATTCTGTGAGTCATTTACACTCACCAGCTCCAAGTCCCAGCACGTCTGTGCCTACAGAACACAACGGAAGAGTTAAAGCTTCCCTGTGTATTCCCGTAAACTTTCCAGCACTGAGCCAGGGGCTTTCCCTGGTGTCACGCTCTGGATCTTCCAAACTCAAGAGCTGGAGTCACACAAAGCCCAGCTGGCTGCTGTGCTCAGATTCACACATGCTACATCAAAGCCTGCCTGACGTTTGCTTCGTGTTTTTAATCCCATTTGGGTCTGCCTGGCGGACACCGGGAGGAGACGGCAGCCATCCCCAGCTCTGGGACCGCCAGGAGCAGTCCCTGCCATGCTGTGACCCCTGGGGGCTGCGTGCAGCCAGCACCAGGCTGCTGCCATCCTGCACCAAGAGCATGAGCCCCATCCAGTCACCCCTGTGAGAGGAGCCCGGCCGGGAGCGGAGCTGCCTGCGCCCGCCACCAGGAGAAGCCCCCGTGCCCGGTGGTGCCATGCCCCAGTGCCCGCATGCGGCCCCGTTAGCCTGGCACGCTGCTCTGCCTGCAGCCCGTTAGTCCCTAAGCACAGCCCCGCCACCATGCACCTGGGACACCAATAGTTACTTGTCATTGACATCTGCTGGGCTGGCAGCTGACCTTCCGTTTGTGACGCTACACGGGAATAAACAAGGGTTAGCAAGGGGGGAAAACCAGAGCCAAACGAGTCTGGGGTTTGCTGATCCCTAAAGAGGGCGGCGGGAGCTCTTGTGCTCGAGGGATGTGCTGATGCCAGCCTGGCTGCACGGATCTGCTGCCTGCTCTGGCTTTAGGGAGCCACCCCCTCCCTGCAGAGCCAACCTTGGCTGTGCAATGGAGGCTGGCAGGATTCAGGTGCTGAACTGAGAAGGAAAGCTGCTGCTGGCTGAGCACCACTCCTGCTGCCACCACACAGCTCACACCCAGCTCTGCTCCGCAGGTCACCCAGGAGAGGGGACCCATAGCCAGCCGCTTCTGTGACACCGTTATCAGTGCTGGGATTGCCTTGTGCTCAATATCCAGCCCCAAGTGGAGAAGCAGCTCACCGAGGGATGGCAGGGATGCGTGTGCCGTTCTCATCCACGAAGTGCCCCCCTGCATTGAGAACCCAGCAGTGGTGCAGGGACATCAGGGCATGTCGGGCTGTGGTGGGGTTGTCCTTGCCATTCTGGCTGTCAGCGTTCTTCAGGGGAGAGAACTCATCCTCACGCAGCACCTCGTACACCACAAACTTCCTGGGGGAACACAGCGTGGGAGGCTCAGGTCTGGAAACTGTGGCTGCTTCCCCTGCCAGGGTGGCTGAGCTGGGCCCACAGCCCTCCCCCAGCCCACACCCACAGGCTGTTTTCACAGCCACGCAGGAGGGAGGGGAGGGCCTGGCCCGTAGGGTCAGCAGATGTTCTGGCACAGGAGCAGGGCTCAAGCCCAGCAAGAGGCACACGAGGCCCATCCCTCCAGCTGCCAGCCTGTCCCCCTCCCCGGGCAGCGCCAGTGGGCACACCCTGGCACAACCCCAGAGGCTCTCAGAGCTGCCCCAGGGAGAGCCAGCAGCCAGCCTGGACCCCACGGAGAACAAAGGACATACTTGGAAAACTGGAAGATGTCGAAGACAAACTTCTCCATCTTAATCCCATTGGGCTTCTCGGGTTGGATTAGCTGCCCTGTAGTGATGTCCACGTGTGGGATCTTCTTCTCAGCCACGTGGTGCTGCAGTTGTGGTTCGTAAGTGCTGTAACGGGCCAAGAAAGAGACGTCACTTGCCCAGGCAAGCCACGTCCCCAGCTCAGCCACTGCTGCAGCAGGACAGCTGCCCTGCTCTGACCCCGGCTGCCCCAAGGCACGGGCTGCTCGTCCCCACAGCAGCCAGGAGGGCCGGCCCCACATGCCTGCGCTCTGGGAGCAGCATCCACATATGGCCCGGAGAAACCTTATGTGAAGGAAGGGGCTGTGCAGAGAGGTGGGGTCAGACCAGCTGTGCAGGGCCAGACACCGGGGGCCCCATCCCAGCACGCCTGGAGCTCAACCAGCAGAAAGCAAGGCACAGCCAGCTCTGCCCAGCAGCAGAGGCACTTCAGCACCAGCACTCCTGTTCTGGCACTCCAGCAGCCCTTACTTGACCACGTCTTTCAGGAAGGCAGTGGTGAAGTAGTGGTTGGCGATGTTGCCCGCGTTGAAGAGCAGCCGCCCGTCCGCGCCGCGCTGCTGGGCGGTGGCCAGGGAGATCTCGCTGTACTCCACCACCTGGTACACGCCGTCCACACGGCACACCACGCCCACCGGCTCCGTGGGGTTGGTCTTCTCCACCACCTGCCCGAGGGAAGCACTGTCAGGGAAAGCACCCAAAGCCCCACGCCTCAAACACACTCCCCTGTAAACAGCGGGCCCGGACCAGGCCTTTCCCTCTGCTGGGATGGGGATGCTGGAGCCCTCCCAGCTGCTTCTGGCACTGGGGACTGGAGGAAGCTGCGATGGCAGGGCCGGGTGACAGGTGTGAGACACGCCCAGAGGGCACAGCAGGATGTGGCACCAAGCCAACCTGCAGCTGGCAGCTGGCACGGATATTTTTAGCCAGCTTGCTATGCACAACCAAAAGGTTGCTGGCTCAGCAGAGCCATCCCCCTGACCTTCCTCTCCTCCTTGCACCTCACACAGCTCCATCTGAGTGTGGGATACCCCAGCAAATCCCTACCCACCACTGTCACACAGAGTGGTGGCATGCAGCAGCGCAGGGCTTTCTCCTTTCTGCGTGCTAAGGTTTATTTCCTCTTTCATGCAGGCCAGGAGGAGAAACTGCCTTGCCTTTCTCAGCTTACCCTCTGAAAGCTGCAAGGCCAGTAAGTTCTTTCACCTGTTTGCCAGAGCCAAGCCCAATGCAAACAAAAACTCTGGCTGTCAAGCCAGTCTTTAAGCAAAGCTTGAAGTGTGCAATGCCCTATCCACAAGAAATGGGGCCGGGTTCAGCGTCAGCTGCACCCACCGTGTCCTGGTCTGGTGCCCAGGATGTCAGGCTGGGGACAGCTGGCAGCTTATGGCAAGGATCTTGTCTGCTTGTGCTACCCACAGCCATCCAGAAAAGAGCTGCCCAGCACCCAGGTGTGCACCAGCCAGCTACACAGGGCTCCCAAGCAGCCTCTTGCCTCTTGGCCCAGGGGGACCTCTAAGCCCTGGGCCTGTTGGTGCCACATCCCTGTGCAAGGCAGAAGAGCAGTGCCAGGCATCCTCCAGGTTGCCAGGGGCAGGCAGGACTATCCCAGGGGCAGGCAGGACTATCCCAGGGGCAGGCAGGACTATCCCAGGGGCAGGCAGGACTATCCCAGGGGCAGGCAGGACTCTAGCAGCATGTGTTACTTCACCAGCGAGCTCCAGGTACTTAGCTATCCCTCCCGGTAGTGGCAAGCCAGCAAATGAAGGGTGTAAAGTCAGGGAAGCCAGACAAGGAGCAGGACAGAGCCCACCCAGTTCTGCAGAAGCAGTGCCTGCCTACTCCCAAAACCATACCTTGGCCCCACAGTCTGCTCCCTTCTCCAAGCAGAACCCGATGAACCTGGGGTCAGCCACCTTCACCAGGATGTTGTCCACGCAGTAGACGTGGACGCTCTGCACTCCCCTCCGCTCCATGTCGTCCATGATGCCGTGTGAGCCCAGGGCCCGGTACAGGCCCCCGTTGCCATCTGCAGAGGGAACACACCCCTGGGGCTGCAGCAACACCCCACTCCCTGTCAGCCATCCACACTCATCCTCCTTCCCCGTGGGCTGATGTGGAAGGTCACCAGCCCAGCTGTGTCCCAGCCTGCTCCTCCCTGCCGAGACAGACACTCCCAGCCCGAGTCAGCCGTGGGCCAGGTCACAGTGAAGACTGCAGCTCCAAAAGCTGCTCCTCAGCACCACGTCTCACCCCTGGCCACCAACCTGGTGCCATAGCGATCTTGCCCTTCTCCTCCAGCAGGATTTTCCCATCGAATCCCAGGGCAGGCAGCATGCCCTGCTGGAAGAAGATGATGTTCTCCTTCTTCAAGCCAAAATAGCGATGTTTCTGGAAGAACTCCTTGGTGGACTCCATGGTGCGGCCACTTGTCATGATGTACCTGTTGCAGAGTAAAAGACACCCAATGAGCAGGGAGGAGAGGCAGGGTCTCACACCCCTCATCCCAAATGTGGAGAACACCCAGGATAGGCTTTTCACCCCTCCACACTAGGAGGATTTGACCTGCTGTGGTCCTACCACCTTGACAAGCCAATGAAAGGTTTCACCCTTCTTGCAACACGTTATCTCCAAAACTACACAACACTGTGCATGGGACACCCAGCTGCAGTGCCAGCTCCTGCCTTGTCTACAGAGCACCTCAGCAGCTTCCACCTTGCATGGACATGAAAGCCCTTCCCAAGGGCTGTGGGACTGAGTCTGACAACGTGGGACCTGACAGCGCCAGCCTTGAACCCCTCACTCTAAGGGGCTACGCCCATTGCAAAGCATTGACACCAAGAGGGGCTATGCCAGTCTGTGGTCCTTGAGCTGCCGAGGGGCTCTGCATCAACCCAGGGGCTACTAAGGGGAACTGCACCAACCCAGGCTAGCCTCGGGCTGCCAAAGGGAACTGCACCAGCCCAGGCTATCCTCGGGCTGCCAAAGGGAACTGCAGGGGATCGCGGGCTGCTGACACCCAGAGGGCTGTGCCGATCCCCGGGCCCTGATGCAGCGGTGCCAGCCGGGCACTGTCAGTCCTGTCCCCCCGAGGCTGTGGCTCACCAGGGGATGTGGCAGGGAGTGCCGTGCTGCTCCTCCGCCATCTGCTGCAGCCGCCGCAGGCGCTGGGCCTGGAGGTGGAAGAGGGTCTTGCGGGAGGGCAGCCCCACGTCGCACATGCCCTTGGGGTAGGGGACGCCGAGGCGGGTGCCCTGCCCGCCGGCCAGCAGCAGCGCGGCCACGCGGCTCGCCGCGATCTCCGCCAGCCCTGGGGGAGCAGACACGCGTGGGGCCCGCCGCTCCGGCTGCCCGCCGCTCCGAGCCCCGCCGCCCCGCGCACCTACCGCGGCTCTCCCAGCGCGGCACCAGCCCGCGGTCGCGGGAGGCGCTGCCCAGCACATCCCGCGGCACCGGCTCCATGCGCGCATCCAGCCCCGCCGCCGCTCCCGCCCCGCCGCCGTCCCCGCGGGCGCGGCGGAAGAAGCGGTTGATCTCGGCCACGTCCATGTGGCACAGCTCGGCCGCCAGCGCCCGGCGGGCCGCGCCATCCAGCTCGGGCCAGAAGCGCAGCACATGGTCCTGGCCGCCCGCCGCCAGCCGCTCCCGCAGCGCCGCCGCCTCTCGCCCCTCAGCCCCGGCCGCCTCCATCCCGCCCGCCGCCGCCGGGCCGCCGCCCCCGCCGCTTTTATACCGCCCGCCGGCCAATGGCCGGGCCCCTCACCACGTGGTGGCGCCGCTCGCCCAATGGGCGCCGGGGGAGGGGCGGAACCGCCCGCCCCCCTCGCTGCGCCGCCGCCAATGGGAGCGGCCGCTGCGGGGGCGCGCGCCGCTGGCTGCCATGGCAACGCGCGCCACGTCAGCGCGCGGCCCCGGCGGGCCCGGAGGGGATGGAAAAAGCCCAAATCCACCCCAAAAAGCGGCGGCGATCCCCGGGGAGGAGGAGTCAGCCCGGCCCGGCCCGGCCTCGGGGCGTCAGCAGCGATGACACACGCGCCGCTCCTGCCGTCATCGGGGTGGCGCGGCATGCCGGAATGACAGACTGTGCCGAACTGCAAGGGAGCCCCAGGGGCAGCGAGTGCAGCTCCCGGCCCTGCACCGACACCGCCAGGAGCCACCCCCGGTGCCGGCACGGGGCAGCGTCAGCGAGCTGCAGCCGAAGCACCGCTCCCCCGGCGGGGATTGTGCAAGCTCAGCCTCTCCCGGGCAGGCTGTGCGTCAGCAGCCGGCCCATGGAGGACACAGCATGGGGAGCCCTCAGGACAGGGGGCCCCTGGAGGACACAGCATGGGGAGCCCTCAGGACAGGGGGCCCATGGAGGACACAGCATGGGGAGCCCTCAGGAGAGCCGGCCCATGGAGGACACAGCATGGGGAGCCCTCAGGAGAGCCGGCCCAGGGAGGACAGACAGCATGGGGAGCCCTCAGGAGAGCCGGCCCATGGAGGACACAGCATGGGGAGCCCTCAGGAGAGCCGGCCCAGGGAGGACACAGCATGGGGAGCCCTCAGGACAGCCGGCCCATGGAGGACACAGCATGGGGAGCCCTCAGGAGAGCCGGCCCAGGGAGGACACAGCATGGGGAGCCCTCAGGAGAGCCGGCCCAGGGAGGACACAGCATGGGGAGCCCTCAGGACAGCCCCAGGCTGAGTAAGCAGCACTGCCGCAGGAAGCCGAGCCCCCAGTGACCGGGAGGGGACACGCTGGGCTCCGGCCAGGCACAGAGCAGCCCGGCCTGTGGGGAATGCCCGGGGAGTGCAATCAGAGGAAAAGGAAGACTTTTCTTAGTGTCTTAATGGGAGTTATAACAGTATGGAAATGATAGGGTAAATCACTGTTACTGCTCCCTGGCTGGAACGCTGTTGGCGTGACTCAAAATGTATTCCAAGATGATTTCCCGTACACATGTGTGCTAAGAGGGGTGGAGTGGGGAAGTGGAGTGGAGACAGCACATCCAGGCTCTGTGGAAATCCTGACAGGGAGGGAGAACTCTCTCCTGACAGGGAGGGTATTTTGCAGGTGATACTTTCTACGGGTCCTTTGTGTATCAGGTCAGCCACAGGAGACAGAGATGTCCTGCTGCAGGACCAACAGCTGTGGTGAAATCCCCCTCCTTAGATGAACCTGCTTCGTTAAAGCCCAATAATAATGTTAACAGCCCCCTCTATCCCACAGTTCCCCGCCTCCAAGCTACAACCACCCCTCACTGGAACTGGAAGGGGTTCTGACAGCCACGGTCACCAAGCACAAATACCAGCGCTGCCACGGCTGGGTCCAGTCCTGTGTCCCCAGACCGAGGCCCTGGTGCTCGGTGACAGAGAACTTGCCCAGCTATGTGACATTTCAGTGTCCCACAAGAAGGGCACGCTGCACAACCACGTCGTACTGAAGCGTTGTTTATTGATCACCTGTATCAAGCACACATCTGCTCGGCAACGGTGCGTGACGGGATACAACAGTTGACATCTAACCCGAAGGGAGGCACGTGGTTACAGGATCCGGCACAGCACGAGGAGGTGTACTGAACCCTCTGGAAAGAGCCTGGCTACAACACGGTGCTCAGGCTATGTTGTTACGAGGCTCAAGAGCAGTGAGAATAAAATTAGGAATACAGCTAAGACTGGAGCTGACTTGTGCTTTGGCCAGTGATTTAAACACCAGTTCCCCTGCGAATAGGGTATGTAGGTTGGTGCTACACCGAGGGTTAGTGGGGGGGAGCAGCACAGACCAGGAAACCCAGCGAGCATCTGAGTGGAAAGCCTCAACACTTGTGCACCTCAAGCAGGCAGTAATCCCGAGATGAGGAAAGCCAGGCCCATCCCAGACACACCACGACAGATGTCTTAGACTGAATCGCCATGCACAATTCAGATACAATCCAGAGTTAAGGAACTCAAAGGTTTCAGCAGGGCTAAAACTAATGCCAAGACACCAAGAGGTCACTGAAACACCAGAGTGAGCTTCATTTTGACAGAAAAAGTCTTGGAAGGCAGAGAGTGAGGAATAACAATACAATGCTTCTAAATTTCCCTGTACCCCAGAGCCTGCAGAAGGGTGGATCCAGTGACAGGACAGAGATCAACATCTTCAACTCTTGCCAGGAGGAATATAAAGAAAAGCAGCTTTGGGGTTTTTACCCAGCTCAGTGTTCAAGCCTGGTCAATGAGCATCTGAAGAAAAATGTCTGGTAGCAGGAGTTTGCATCGTGAGGATTTATTTAGCTGCTGTTAAAGAAGCTGAACAAAACCTCAGCCAAACTCTGCTGGAAGAGCTGCCATGCTGCAGGAACAGGCTGTAGCTCCTCTATGAACATCAATCCTGGCACAGCTCTATCTTTAGTTGAAAGAATTCTGACTGAAAAAGCTTGAAAGATGACAGAGCAGCTCACAGTCCTTGACAAATGCATGTGAGAACCTTAAACACATTTTAGTTCCGTACCTGCATCCCAGCATGTCCCTGTCCCAGTGCTGCTGTAGGTGACAGACCTCACACCCTGCATCCAGGGGAGCTGGCACTCAGCAGGGCAGGAGCTCTGGGGTCTGCTCCTGCCGGCTCAGTGCTGCTGACATTCAACATGTGCAGGCCTGCACCAAAGTGCTTTGAGCTCTGGCTCAACCCGCAGGGACAGCAGTATCGCAGAGCTGAGTAGGTCAGCCAAGACCCAGCCACGCTTTAAACACTGCTCTCCACTCAGGAAAAACCCTCACCCAGTTAATCATTCAGTTCCTCCCAGACACTAAAAGGTGCTTCACCAAAAGGACAGTTCAGCTAAAAGCAATGAATCACACACCCCACCTATGCAAAGGCTGCTGAACAACTATGTACACCAAAGTAGCATCATTCCCAGAAAAATCTGATCAGCAAATCACACCTTAGAACTCATTGTGGGATTTTTTTTTCCTTCACCTGGCAAGCCCACCATCTCAAAGGCAACAGAAGAATTCAGATTGGTCCTTTCTGAGGGAGTTTGGTACAGGCCACAGTAGACAGGACTATACACCAGCACAGAGAGCAACTCAGACTCATGAAATGCTACAGACATTGGATCTCCTGACACACCACACACAGGGCAAAAAATCAAGAGGAGCTTTTTAAGTGCAGGATTCCAGCAAGTCCAGCATCAGCAAAATGCAAATGCTAAATTGCAAGGTAATTCAGGTATTATTCCAAGGAAGGTCGGGGATGGTTCAGGCAGCTGTCCCCAAGCATTTCATCTGAAGAAAAGAATTCAGGAGGGCTTTCCTCCTCACTGAAACTGGGACCAAGACCACAAGCCAGAATACACTGGTGATTCTCTAAAGAGGGCTGTTTCACACTGTGCCCAACAGGAGCAGAGTGCCCACCCTGTTGGGAGAGGCTCTGCTGGGTGCATGGATCTGGAAATCCCTGGGAAACAGCCTCTGCCTGCCCCGTGGCAGCAGCTGACTGGAGCCACGGGAGCAGAGCGCGCTTTGGGGGGAAGTGATGCTGCTCACCACAGTGTCTTCCCCAAAGGCACGTGGCTGTCGTCCCTGACACTGTGAAAGACCTTCTCCTGGCCAGTCCAGTCTGATGACTGATTAAGCCCTTTCTGTACAGGATCTCAGATTGCCTCAAGCCCTTTTTGTAACCTATGAAGGACCAAAAGTGTCAGTGCTTCTAATCTACAAGTCTTAATGGGTTAATGCAAAACCAAAACGCACAACACAGAAAAGCCAAGCGTGGGACCTACAACGGACAAATATTTGCTCTTGTAAGACTCCCAAGGCAGGAGTCCTGCTGTGCCACAAAGAATACTGTGTGCTGTAGCACTCCTTTCCAAAAATATCACTGAAAAGATGCTTACATATCACAGATGATTTGGCATCAGAGCTAGGGAGCATCAGGAGCCAGCACAGGGCATGTGCTAGAAAGATGAATCCACACGGCACGGTTTTCACATCTACTCAGGCTACAAAGTGCTTACAGGTTGTGTTGGGACTGAGGCTGGCACTGCTCTGACCAGGTCTCCACCATCAGTCCCGGCCCACCCCAGGCATACAAGCAAGCTCAGCTCCCCACAGGCAGCATCATCCACACCTCACTGCCCAGCCCAGCATCAGCTGCATGGCTCTGCTCAGGTCACCATGACCGGGTAACCCCACAGGCTCAGCAGATCCAATTTCATTGCCTCCCTCTGCTCTGTGTGAGAAGACTCAAAAGTCCTCCTGGTCTGGTTTAGAGAGGATGGTGTTTCTGCTTCTTTATTTATAATAGGTATCAACAAAAAGCAGGCAAGCCTTCTTCTT